TGAGCATCAAGCGAGATTGATGTAATGGATGGCCCACCGGGACATTCTTGGCAGTCTCCGGGATGCAACATTACGAACATTTGCAGTGCAGTGCTGCAGTGTCCTAGAACCGGACGAAACCAGAGCCGGAAACGGCAGAGGGATTGCCAGAGCCGGGGGGGGGGGGGGGGCAGGGCGGCCAGTCAAATGAGCGACGAGTCAACCAAGGATCAACGTATTGCACAGAAGCCTGTTGTGCTTCCAAAGTTTGTGCCGAAGTCCAATCTTGTGCATACCACCCCGAAGCATGTGATGTAGCGATACCAGTCGTCTCTCGACGATCGCCGCTTCGGGAGGTTGCAAAAAAGCTTGCATCGGGCAGTGTCGCGAGCACCGCTGTCCCCAAAGCTTTGCAGCTCTTCTCTCGGAAGTTCTGAAGGCACAGGCCATAGCTTGCCGTGAGAGCAGAAGCTGAGGTTTTAGATTGAACTTACCAATATGGTTCATCAAATGTTTCACAAGCAAAGTGTTGTCGTTTTGACGCAATAGCAGTATTTGTTGGATTTGTGATGAGTAATTTTAAAGGCCTCGAGTCAGGACCACAGGCGATGACATTCCCATGCACGGGACTGTCAGTGTAGTTTCACCACCCTGATGGCCAGGAACATGCTCGGGAATTGATTTCGGCAGAGTCGAGACTACACTTTGCCGGTGGCTGAAAGCATCATGTCGAGGCTGCACCCTTGAATAGCTTCCCTTTCTGATGTCAAGCCGGAGCGACCGGGTTTCTAAGGCCAAGACGCTTTGCGACAGCGACAAAGCTCGGGCGGAATTGCATGGTCCTGAGTTGCCTGACTTGTAATTTTGCGCGGTGAGCAAGCAACGGGACGTTTGTGCTTGACCGTGCTTGGTAAACTGCATTCGCAGCAGCTGCAAGCCTTCACAGAAATCACTGAATCTACTAGGACCTTCAATTCTGAGGCAGAGGAGTGAGTTCTTGTTGGTGGTCAACGCCAACCCGGGCTCGCGGGTTCAAGTAGAACAGGTCCATCTCCCCGCTGTTTTCGCGATGTTGACTTGACCTGATTTTCCTCCCACAGCTCAGATAGAAGGACTGTTTGTTCATCTTCCGCATGCAAGGTGACACATTCGAGCCGTACTTTGGCCACACATGCCGGAATGCTTTCGGTTCAAGAGACGTTTATCCGGCTATTGAACCCTTCGTATGTTCCGACCTCCATGGCCTCACAGAAGGATGCCTCTGCATTGTCTACATATGGCTCGACTACGGGACCAACACAGCTAAACAGCTTTGCAGAGTCTATGGCCCCTTATGTGGCAGAATTTATTGGCACCTATCTTCTCGTCTTCACCATCGCCGTCTTTAGCATAGCCGAGAGTGCGGACTTTGCCGGAACTGCCATTGGAACTTTGCTAGCAGTCCTGGTGTACAGCTTGGGCCCTGTTTCCGGTGGCCATTTCAACCCTGCAGTGTCTTTCGCTTGCGGCCTCACACGGAAAACGCCATGGCCTCAGGTGATTGCTTACATTTTACTGCAGATCTCGGCAGGGCTTGTGGCCGGCATCGCTTGCCACGAGATCTTCCAGCAGCCACTCGGTGTGTCTCCAATACCCCCCTTTGGCTTTTGGGATGCATCCTTCCTGGAGGCACTCTACACAGGCATGCTCTGTTTCGTGGTGCTTTCCGTATCTACATCGAAGAACAACAACCCCGACCGCGACCAGAACCACTACTTCGGACTCGCCATCGGACTCGTCATCGTTGCTGGTGGACATGCAGCCAGTGGGATCTCCGGTGGGATCTTCAATCCAGCAGTGTCCCTTGGCCTGGAGATTGTGGGAGCTCGGTGCCTCGGCTGGAAGCATAGCAGGTCCAGCTTGTGTTCGAGAAGTCTGATATGGGTTTGCTGTTTCATTTCAGTGCAACTACTGTGCCCTTCAGCATTTTGCACTGCCAAGGGCTCCTGCTGCAGCTGCAGGGCCATGGGGCTTGGCTTTTGCTGGGATGCAGATCTTCGGCGCAACGATGGCTGCCGCCATGTTCGTGGCAGTGCGTGCCGCAGAGCTCCGCAACGGTGAAGAGCCACTCCGAGAACAACTTGGGGATGCGGGGGGTTCGCTTCTCTCGAAGTTGTTAAGTGAGTTTTTGGGCACTTTTCTCCTGTGCATCACCGTGGGACTGAGCATGGTGATGCACTCGATCTCGACGCCATGGGCTGCCTTTGCAGCCCTTGCCAGCATGATCTATGCAGTGCACGACATCAGTGGCGGGCATCTGAACCCGGCAGTCACAGCTGCAGTTGTCTTCAGTGGTCGAGGGAAGTGCCCTGCTGGCCGCGGTGTGGCATACGCAGCCGTCCAGCTCCTCGCCGGCTCTTTGGCTGGTGCTATCACGGCAGCCTACCAGAGCCAGAGCATGTTCATGGTGAAAGAGATCAGCTTGCAGCCCAAGCTGCCGTACAGCTGGATTGCGGTTCTAGTTGTCGAGACAGCCTTTACATCACTGCTCGCCTTCGTGGTTCTCAGTGTGGCAACTGCTAAAACTCCGGATGCTGTATCATCGCAGAACTTTCCATTCGGTTTTGCGATCGGAGCCTGCGTTTTGGTGGGTGGCTTTGCTTCCAGCTCGATTTCCGGCGGCATCTTGAATCCAGCTGTGGCATGGAGCATCGCCACTACAGAAAGCGCAACATTTAACAACCTGCAGCTATTGACTTACTGCTTGACATACTGTTTATTCCAATTTGCCGGAGGGCTGCTAGCTGCTGTGGTTTTCCGAGTGACTCATGACTTTGAGTATCGAAAAGCTCCCCCTTTGCTCGATTAGCAAAGCGAAACCGCCTTTCGGCCGATTGCTCCTTGGCGTGAGCAAATGCTTCAAAGCAGCGCAGGCATTGTATCCGTGCAGCGAAAAATTATGCCGTGACTGCAGGTGCTCAATGACACCGGGCCTCTAAGTTCCGCAAAAGCGAAAGATCCGTTGTGGAATGCAGGGCGATTGGTGCCTTCGTGTTGGCCCTGGTGGAGTCGACCTCAATCGGAATTGGGATGAACACTGGCAGGCCTGGAGGGCTAATGGTTCCGCTAATGCTTTTCTCGCCGACTGACTGGTAGACTAGACAAGGTAGCTTTTGGAAGTGCAGCAGGCTGGTGTCGACAGAAATTTTGCAGTGCAAAGACCACCCGAGCAGGGTGACGAGTCGTTTGGTGGGGACACGAATCCAGGTCGGCTGCTGCTGCCTCAGGTCCATAGTTTCACGAACCATCAGCATCTGGCTGATGTGGCTCTATACATGTGTCCACTCTTTTATATCTCTTTTTGGACAAGTGACTGATCTTAAAGGATTGGAAATACAAAGGCCAAATGCCACTCAATGAGGTGATAAATACAGAAAGCGCGAAAGTACTGCTAAGTAGCCGCTGTTGTTACTGTTAGTTGCGTTCCTCGTGATATAACATGGAAACCCACGACAGAATGAAGCGAGGTCAATCTCATTTCGCAAATCATGCTTAATTTCAGAAAGATGGTCTGGCTACAGGTGCAATATGTAGACGACTCTGGCCTTGGTCGTTCTGTGTTACGCTGAAACGTCTTGAAAGCGTTCCCTTTACCCTTCAGTTCGTTTAGCTGGGTGAGGAGGCTCGAAGCTCTTTGTGTATCCTGCGTTGCTCAATTGCCTACACTCTCAATGCTTCAATCGCTGACATTTCGTGACTTGATGAAATTCAAGCCCGAACTGCGCTCGTTGTCCACTTCGCACGTTGCCTTTTGTGCTCCCGTTTGATGAAGGAAGGCCGCAAAGGGTTGTGAAGAGTAAATAGAAGTCGGCCAACGCTGCTGCTAAAAAGAGGCCCTTCAGCGAGCCAGAGACGCAGCTTCTGAAGGAGTTGGGTCCTGAGTTGCTTTCCTCGGCTGTAGTTTGAATCAGTTTGCTAGGCGGGTGCGTGGCTGAGGTTAGTCTCAGACTTCCAGCCAACGCCTGTTCCTCAAGAGTAGTTCGTCGCAGGGCAGATACGCAAATTGGTCGCAACTGTCAGGACATTCCTGACCATCCACAGTGGAACACTAGGCCGGAAAATTGCTCTCTTCGTCCCTTTCGGCTGCGGCGGCACAGTCGCGGATCTCTTTCGAACATTTGCTCGCGTGTCTCGAGTTAGGTAATTGAAGTGAAGTTTTCTGTTTGCCCAATGATGCCTCTGCATGCTCCATTCCATGTCAATCCTTGCTTTCAGTGACAGTTGTTTCAACAAGTTCCGGCTGCGGCTCCCCAGCTTCCTTCCCCGCCTCCTCGAGGCCAGTGCGATTTGTGCAAAGAAAACGCGAGATGGCCAAATCGCATTTTGCATCTGAAGTGTTTGCCCCCGACCCCCACACTACGAGGCCATGAGACTTTTGCAGTCGCATTCTCTGTGCGCATGTGTGTTTTTTATTCAAGCAGCACACGACATGGTCCGCACGTGTTGCGTGCGCCGATTGCTGTGCGTGTCTGGTTGAGCCGACCTATTGTTTTTGCTCATGTTGGCGATGCACTCCTGCATGTGTGCCGCGGGGTAGGGGTAGGGCGTTTATGGAAAGTCGCTTAGTGGGCAGTTTTGAAACTCTGACTCTACCAACATGAACGAAGCACAGCCCCATGCGAGCTCTTTGCCTCATTTTCGGCACCAGCAACTGACGGCCTTTGCTTCCGTTTGCCTGGAGTTGCACGCTTTCACAACTTACCGAAAAGTTCTCAGAGACTTGCAGAGCTGCCAACCCTGCAATCGAGATTCATTGAGTGGTGCATCCAAGACATGGCCACACCTTGAGTTCATTTTATGAAGTTTCATTCGAACCCTACCTCCAACTCACCTGCGGTCAGCCCCGATTCATTGTCAAGCAGCCTTGTCAGTCATCAGTGAATAGCCTCAACCCATACTGTTTAGCCCAGTACAATCCATCTCCACCGCACTCTCGCCACCAATTCACTTGATCCGCGATCGGTGATCTCATCTCAGCTTCATCTCACCTGCGCACGCACACACACACACACAAAGTTGGGCCAAACCTCGTTGCGAATTGCGGCCAGGAATGTATATGCCCTGGGCCTTCGACATGGAGCACTTGGCGAATCGCAATCAGGCCTCCATGATGGAGCCCGCAGCCCGGACAGACGGAGCGTTCCCGTCACGAGTGGTGCGGAAACGAGCCCCTAGGATTTTGAAGGAAGTGGACCAGGCCCTGGATTTTGCGGGGGTGCACCCTTTGCAGCTTTTTGGGTTTTGGTGGTGTTAGGCCCACTGTGAATGCCCCTTCGGAGCGGCTGGGCGCGAGGCCGGGCACGCGACTGTAAAATGGATTCCTGCCTTGTGGCTGCTGCTCCCAGCTGGCCCAGGTCGGCTATTCCTGCCCCGGTACCTGCCTGGACTGGGTCTACGACAAACTTCAGACTCCGTGCCCGGCCTCGTGCACCTTGACAGACGGCCTGCCTGGGTGCTTTGTCAGGTATGCATTTGCCTATGAGATCTTCTATGGAGGTGACCTCGAATCGCTCCGACAGCGGTGGGAGGACGAATGACAGCCCGATCTCAGCAGGGGCATAGTTTCGAGCAGTGCGGAGACATGCGAAGTTCCACAAAGCTATTTTGCCCAACATCGGAATATGAGATTCGAGAAAGAGAGCTGGCAGTGTTCACAAGATGCCTGCCCAACCTCCCTTGCCTTGGCTCCCATCCTCCTTTGTGGAACAGATCCCCCCACGAACCCCGAAACAAAAACAACATGGATTCATAGATTGCTTGGCCAGGAGAAGATGGAGTTACCAGACGCCTCGCAACTTCAGGCTGAATGGATCGGAGTTTGTGTCCCAAGTAAGGAGCCGATCTAGACGAACTGCGAATTTTTTGCGCCCGCAGGCACAAAATCTGGCACACGAGCACTTCAAGGACATGTTCGAAGACTTCCCCTCAAGCTTCATCCAGGCATGCTTGGAGTTTGAATAACGTGGGACATAGACACAGACATAGGCAACATATTGCAGTCATGGTGTTAGCAGCTTCAATCCGGTCCTGGTAAGCCTAACAGGGCCTAACACTGGCTCGCAGGTCCACTCTGAAACCAACGCGACCAAGACCAGCTCAGAGACCATTACAGGCTTCGCTCGCAGTGTTGGGACAAGATTTTGACGGGTTCGATAGTCGGAACTGCGGTTCCCAACGTGAGGCTGACCGTGTAACAAAAATCTTTACTGTTCTCGAGAACGATCGTTGATTTTACGGTCTTAAAAACTCCAGAGAGTTCTTAAAGTTGTCTATTGTGTTGTGATTCTAACGGCGCTTAAGCAAATGATTTTGTAGCACACTCGTTTAGCCAGAACAGAGGCCATTGTCAAGCTCGGACTGCGGATAGCGTTTGCACTTCTTCAGGGCTGTGACTCGTGACAGCGTCTCTGAGGCTTCGCATGTTTCGGGGCGTCCGTCGCCCAGCTCGGCAGTTGCAGCTCCGCACGTGCAGTTTCACACGTGAAGTCGTCCTTAGATATCCTTAGATCGTCTTTCGAGCGGTCGAGGTTCAACCCCGCGACGGAAGAACAGTGCGACGGTCGATTGATGCTTTCACTGACCAAGGTTTCTGTTCTTGCAAACTGTTGCGCAGGTACCGTGCGACCGTAGAAAACTGGTCCGGGGCTTACCTGGACACGGTCAGCAAGGCCGGGAAAGTGGACTGTCGAAAGGTTTGTTTCGGCTTGTGAGTCGAAGGGTTTCTTCGCTACACATGTTTGCCCGATGTCTCTAAGCCCAACACAACATCAGGCCTGGTAAAGGAAGTCGGGCTATCATGCTTCATCAACACTGGCGAACTGTTGACGTGCTCGCTCTCACTCTGACTCTCGCTCACTCTCTCACTCTAGAGAGAGAGAGAGAGAGAGA